TTGTCAAACTGGTTTTCAGGGTTTGGGATCTTTTTGCAATTCTTAGGGCCAATGGGTGCCCTAATAGCCATGGGGGTAAACAGTGTCTGCTTCCATCTGCAAATGGACAGAAGATTGTGTCCCATCCCAGTGGATGTAGGCTGCCCATAGAGATCCATGAATTCATTACCATTTGGCTTGATCACTTCATCTCATATATAAGAATAAAGCTCCAGCTCATATAAAAAGCAGCAGCCAGTTTCCTTAGCATCACAAGTCACTGTTAATAAGTCATTGCAATGCTCCACGCTCTGCAATGATTTCCCACTGAATACAGAATTTGGTTCAAGATCCTGTCTTGATGTTCAGAGTGGTCAGTTAGGACTGTTCATAGCTGACCAAATTACCTCCTCTCTTTCTCTCTCCACACTAGTTTCAATGGAACATTCATCCTGATGACCAGCAGAGGAAGGTTTTCATATGAGATATGCACCTAATTAATAGATCTAACTCAGTGACAGGAGTGGCCACAGGCCTACCCATTTCTGAAAGCTAAATGCCAAACTCATTTCCTTGATATAGCTCGGCTTCAATAAATTCTTCACCCACACAAACAAATACATGTTTCAAAACCATATACATTAACCAATCTATTTTTACAGGCTGGGAAAGGAGAAAGAGAGATTAATTGTTTCTATTTTTAAATAGTGGGCAGAATTTAGATATTATATTGAATGGACAATATAAATACCTAGACAGACAGATTTGCGGCTAAATTCTTACACATAGCCCCTTTGGCTTCATTAGGGCCTTTTGAGTGAATGAGTAAGATGAGCAGGATTTAACACTCAATATCAAGATTTATTTTGTCTGGAGCCTGGAATTCCTGTACGATACAGCTACAGTTTTCTCCTAGGCTCAGATCCTCAAAGAAATACAGGCTCCTAACTTCCACTGGTTTTTATGGAAGTTAGGCGCCTAAATACCTTTGAGGATCTGGGCCCATTTACTTTTAGTATCAGAAAAAATAAGCTGCAGAGTTATTTTCCTGTGATTAAATAGGTTTTAGCAGAATATTTAACTAGGAAAAAGATCACCTGATCTTAAATTATCCAGATGCAGCACCTTTCCTTGATTCCAAAACCAAGAGCCTATGCATGCTATAGATCACATATGAGGAAGTGATATCAATATATTGCAGAAACATGCCACATTGAATTAGTCACCTGCCCTCTGTCAACTTCTCCATTTGGGCCAGGATTACTTAAAACATTCCACACCTCTGATCAACTTCTAACAAGTTGTTGCGTTTTTTTGTTTTGTTTTTAAATCAACCAGCCAGAGAAATGTTTCCTTCTTTTCTTCCAAATGTCAAGAAATTACAAAAGAGATATGACAAACATGTAGGAGTTTGTGGTGTCCCACACGAAGGTCATCAGGGATAGAATTAAGAGGAGTTTCATTAAAAGAAGTTATAAAAAGGAGCCGGTACTTCTTGATAGCAGCACATACCTCCAGGACAATAGCTCCACAGTTGATCTACCAATACCAAACTGGTTAACTAAAGACCACTCGCAATCGTGATGGCAAGCTTCCAGACAGCAATAGCCACATGCGTCTCCATGCTGAAGGGAGCTGTCATGTATGTGTTCCACTACTATAGCATTGAGTGAGCTCTGCACAGATTTCTAGTAGAGTGGGCTTTCTCATCCTTAAGTACCAGTACCATTGCTAGTCTTCCCAGGTCTGCAGCACTATCCTGTTCACTAGGAAGTGCTGGTTGCCTGAGTCCAGAAGTGGGCAGCTCACTAAGAGAAGCCCTTGCTCCTAGAAAAGATTGTACAGAGGTCACTGCTCAATTTCATCCTCCTCCTGTGCTCATATTGCCACAGCACCACCGTGGCTGTCTCTCAAGTTACCCAAAGCATGACTGCCAATACATGTGCATCTGCCAGTTTGTATTAACTACCATCAGGATCACAGCACTCAGCCATGTCTCCCCGCATGCTGCCTGACAGCAGTCTGACAATGGCACTGGCTTCCAAAACCCAGATGAATAATAGGATAAAAGGAGAGGAATCATGGGAATTTTTTCATTTGACCCCCAAGTCCCAGAATTCCAGTGGCTTCTAGTAGGTATCCTATTACGTGCCACAAGAAAAATCCCCAAATGCATTGAGCCTAGCGGCAGAACATTGCACCATGGGATTTCTGCCCTGAATGCTGTGTACGTATTTCAGTAAAACACAGCACCATATGGACAAGATGATTCAAAAAGCAACCAGCTTTAACGGGCATAAAGCAGTGAGGACAAGCTGCTTTTGGAACAATTGTTCCTAATCAGTTAACACACACAAACAATCTGAAACAACTTTCAAGTGTCGACAAGCCCTGAGAGAGACCATGAAGGATAAAGATAATATTTAGCCAGCCACATCACAAAATCGGGAGCAAGGAGAAACCAGAAAACTGAAAGTTTATAGGGGATCAGACTTAAGCATAATATTTCATGTACCACAAGGACAAAAAAGAAGTGATGTTTTTCCATTGGGATGGTAACAGATTGTGGGCAAAATGCACCTTAAAAATCACATAATTCTAATTACTATCTTTGTCAAACGTGCACTTTAAAGAAGATAGTATTTCAGCCATCACAATCTCAAAACAGCTAGATCTAGGAAGTAATACTTGTAACTTTATAATGTGAAAGCTGGGAACTACTTCTTTCAGGTAGTATAAAAGCATTAATCTCTAACTCTAGCAGTTCATGTTGCAGCCAAAGAGGAAGAAAATGGGGATTTTAGAATACACAAGCAAAATTTCACTGGTGGTTATCAATTAACTGCCATATCTGGAACTTTGGACCTCTCCTTATGAACTCACCTAGAATTAGTATAAATACATTCAAGTAATACAGCTGTATTTTTTATTTAGGTATATAAATTCAAAATGTATTAAAATGCTGGTAGAATTTCTTAATGAATTTTCAGTGTTATGAACAGTTGTGGATACACTATATGCCATATTAAAACAAACTAATACTAGTGTCCAGTATTGGATTTATAAGAAAATGCTAGAAAAGTGAACAACTTTGTATGAATTTGTGAAAACTAACATGGCTGTTTTAAAAAAATCAAGATGGGAAAGAAGAGAGCAGAAATGTGTGGGTGGAGGCAAAATTAAATATAGGGGAAGTTAAAAAGTTACGTTGTAAGTAATGAATATATTTGTCTGTCTATCCATCAGATGTCTCTTACATTAGATTGTGAGCTCTTTGAGCCAGGAACTGTCTTTTTGTTCTGTTTGTACAGTGCCTAGCACAATGGTTCTGGTCCATAAGTGGGGATTCCAGATACTACACTAATTATTATTATTATATTTTAAGGGGCCTGATTCTGATCTCACTTATGCTCTAAGTTTACTATTTACTGCTTTACACAGAAGGATGAGAGAGCAGAATAAGGCTCAAGCTTTATAAACCCATCTGGTGCCTTGGTGACGTGAACATACCACTTACAATGTTTTTAGAAAAGCTCAGTGGAATTAAAGCCTTATTAGATAATGCTGGGCATAGTACAGGACTTCTTATTTATAGTCAACAGCAGCAGTTTATCAAAGAAAAAAACCCTATGAAATCACAGTAACAGTGTTCTGTGTGATATAATTTTGCTTAACAGTCTAGGACAGGGAGAAATTATTTCTCTGTTGTTCCAATTAGTACTTTATACTATACTGGAGAAGCAAGTCCTGTGATAGCTAACAAATTTGCAAGAAAGGCATATTCTGAAAGGGAATCAGTAATAGTTTTATACCAAATGTGGGATCTCAAATGGAAAGAGTCCCCAGTATACATATAACAATCACACCCTTGGGCACATACTGCTATAGCCAGCGTCCCCAAAGGTGGCAATAGCTCAGATCTAATTCATTCACCTAAATTTCATTAAAAACTGCATCCCTTCACTCCAGTAAGCCCAAACCAGCGGCCCATTCTGCAGGAACTGGGTCTGGCAATAACCACTATGTACTGATCTATACTACTACTATACAGTAGTGTCTTGATTGTGTTACAGTACGGTTTGGTTTTCCTGCATGCACAAGACCAAATCCTGTTGCAACTATGGTACTTGTAGTACAATTATTGTATCATTTGCCCCAATCCATAGTCCAGACTGGGTCTGCACTAAGATTTTCTTAAAATCTCCCATTCATTACACTAGCACTGGTATTGCTGGTGAGAGTACTAGCCTAGACCTGTGGCTAGCTGGGCTCAGGGGATCCCCCCTCACCTGACTTAGTGGTATGAATACAAATAACCAACGTACACGTTTTCCCTCACCATTGCTACTGCAACAGGGGGAGAGCTACCTAAAATTGCCACGGTAGGCATGGACTCGAAGAGCGAATACCAGACTATACAGCCCGTGGCATCTCCATTAAGCGGCAGTGCTGGGGCAGCGGTGCATTAACATCCACTCGAACACATATCAAGAAACTCATTATCCCTTTTGGCGCTTCCAAGACAACTCAAGACAGTAACGGCTGGTCGAGGGGGGACGCGCTAAATCTCACCGGCCGCCCCTCCCGCTTGAGCAGGGGAGCCAATGACTCCCCTCCTAGGCCACCTGAAAGCAAAGGCGGCTCCCTTGGACCCAGAGGGTTGTGACCGAGGATCCCCCGTCTCCACACCCCAACATCCCCATGCCCGGCTGGCGCGGAGCCCCAGACTCAGGCTACCCGGTGCGTCTGCCTCCTCCCCACGGGCACCCGAGCGCCGCAGGGTGACAGAGCCGCCAAGCGCCGGCCCGGGCAGAGCAGAGAGCGAAATGACGCCCCGCCGCTCCCGCCCCCGGTCCTCCTCCCCCGCGGGGCCAGGGAGCCCGCCCGCCGGACAGCGCGGCTGGGGCCCCCGCGTGCCCCGCTTGTCCTGTCCACTCGGAGCGGCAGCTCCTAGCCTCCGCTCGGGAACGAACCCCAGCCGGGCCCCGCTCTCGGCCAGCAGCCGCGCCTGCCCTACTCACACCAACAGCGGCGGCTCCCGCGCTCCCCAGCCGCGGCGTCGGCACAGGCTCGGCAGGCTCAGCAGCCCGGCCACAGTCCGAGCCAGCCACGGGCGGGGACTCGGCGCTCACGTGTCCCGCCGCGGGAGGAGCTGCGGCTGCCGCCAGGGCCGGCTTGGCGGGCGGGCGGGCGAGCGCGGGAGTGCCCCGCTGGGTGGGTGAGGCGGGAAGGCGGACACTCGTCCGCGCTGGAGGCGGATGGGGTCTGCTGGGCGCCGGCGTCTGCGGCTGCACAGTCAGTCACGCCATCCTGCGGCTGCTGCAGCTGTGCTTCCGCGGGGGGATGACAGCAGGTGCCTCTGGCTGGGTGTCCTGTGTGAATCAGGCTGAGGATGACCTCACCACATCCGGATATTAGGGGCTTTGGTTTAGACAAGCAACTATACCCCCCTCCCTCTGAACAAAAAAAAAAAAAGTGTCCTGATTTTTCTCACTTGCTATCTGGTCACCTGATCTGATTTCGCATAAAGCAAAGTTCAGTAATAAAATATTCTGGGAACTTAAAGGGCTCTCTGCAAGCCAAAGCTTGTCTCTCTCACCAACAGAAGTTGGGCCACGAACAGATATTACCTCACCCACCTTCTCTTTAAAACATCCCTTTGATATTCTGCAAAAAGAAAAGGAGGACTTGTGGCACCTTAGAGACTAACCAATTTATTTGAGCATGAGCTTTCGTGAGCTACCTCACGAAAGCTCATGCACAAATAAATTGGTTAGTCTCTAAGGTGCCACAAGTCCTCCTTTTCTTTTTGCGAATACAGACTAACACGGCTGTTACTCTGAAACCTTTGATATTCTGCACTCCACTCTGGTTGCCTAACCACCCATTTCAGGATCCCGCTTCTTGTCTTCAACGTTTTCAAGGGGGCAATAAGGCAGATGAACCCCAGATTGGGGACAGGTACTCTCAGCTGTGGAATTTATTGCCTCCATGAAATTTACAACCTCTAGAGCCTGAGTTTTGTCACCTTAAGTGCAGCATGCAAGGCTTATCCCGTTCAGCTAGCCTTTTGCTAAGCACATAGTTGTGAAATGGCCAGTTACGTGCCCTGGGATAGAGGTCACATATTTTATTTCTGGTGAGTTAGGCCCATTTGGGGGCTTAGAAGTACATGGGACCACAACAGACTGGGGACCATACAGTGTACCAGACTGTACGAGGTCAGGTTGTGACAAACAGAATTAAGGAACAAAAGACTTTCTATCTTAGATATAAAATAAATGACCCAAGACTGCAGATGCCTTCATACGTAGAGATTTCACTCAGGCATACTAGCACTCTGAATCTCTCAAATGTATCAAGGCAGAACATCTTTTCTTCTAGGAGTCTAGCAAATCAAACTTCCCTTTATTCCCTCTTCAAGAAAAGCTGGGTTTTTTAAGTCTTTTATTTAAGAAAAAAGAAAAGTGAATTTAAGAGAGACACCTCCAGCTCATTTTAATTTAAAAATAGATTTTGGGGAGGAATCCATTATGAACTCAGGATGGCAACAGTAGTAGCTGTCAGTGAAGAAAGGCAGAGGCAAGCCACAAAAACCACATTTCAGGAATCTACCCCAGTTGTTACCCTAGATGTTGTAATCTAGCAACTTCTGCAAATGAAGGAAGAGCAGTAAGCAAGGAATTCAGATGGGCCCATAAGCCAGTGATCAGCTAAGGGGTGGGACGTATAGTGTAGAGTCCAGGGACTTGGGACTTGTCTACACTGGCAAGTTTTTTTGATTAAACTAATGTCACCAAGGAAAAATCGACAAAAGCAAAGTCACCAAAGTGTGTCTACATTTTCTCCCTCTGTCGACAGATTGTATCCACATTCTGGGCACCTTTGTTGACAGTGAGAACAATGGACTATGGGTATGTATCCCACAATGCCTGGCGGCACCATTCGTCACTAGGTGTTGTGGGAATGCGGAAACGGAGCGTGGCGCATCCTGGGATGTGCAAAATGTACCGTCATGCACCGCTTTGTGTCCCAGCCCTCCACAGGTCTTTGGATTCCTTTTGCACTGTTTTTCCAACTGTCATTCTTTTGTAGTGTGCGCCAGCATCTGCAGTGAGAGAGGATGAATCCCGCACTTCTCTCCTATGTGCTGTTAGCTGTCAGCTGTCGTGAGGACATCGCGCATGGCAGCACAGTTACTCGCAAAGTTAGCAGAAGATGAATCGCAGGCACCCGAGTGTGATATGGACAGCAGCAACTTATCAGTGCTTTGTGCATTCACAGAGCAGCTGAGTATGGTAGACCGTCGCTTTTGGGCTAGGGAAACAAGCACTGATTGGTGGGATCACATTGTCATGCAGGTGTGGGATGATGATCAATGGGTACAGAACTTTAGGATGCATAAAGCAACCTTCCTGGAGTTACGTGCTGAGCTATCCTCCAACCTGCGGCACAAGGACACCAGATTGAGAGCTGCCCTTCCGGTAGAGAAGCATGTTGCAATCGCTGTGTAGAAGCTGGTGAATCCAGACTGCTACCGGTCAGTCGCAAATCAGTTTGGAGTAGGAAAGTCCACTGTTGGGGCTGTACTACTCCCAGTGTGCAGAGCAATAAATCACATCCTGCTGCATAGGACCATGACTCTGGGAAATGTGCATGAAATAGTGGATGGCTCTGCAGAGATGGGTTTCCCTAACTGTGGCGGGGCGATTGATGGCACACACATTCCAATTTTAGCGCCAGACCACCTTGCCTCTGAATACATCAATAGGAAGGGATACTTCTCCATAGTGTTGCAGGTGCTTGTGGATCACCGGGGGTGTTTCACGGACATCAGTGCAGGCTGGTCTGGAAAGACACATGATGCATGCATCTTCAGGAACAGTGGCCTGTACAGAAAGCTGCAGGCGGGGACTTTCTTACCAGTTCACAAGTTCACAGTGCGGGATGTGGAAATGCCCATGGTAATCCTGGGAGACTGGTCTTACCCCTTACAGCCCTGGCTCATGAAACCTTACACAGGGCACCTGGACAGCAGCAAGGAGCATTTTAACAACAGGCTGAGCAGGTGCTGCATGGTAGTCAAATGTGCCTTTGGCCGTTTGAAAGCTCGCTGGAGGTGTTTAAATGGCGGGCTAGACCTTACCAAGGATAAAAATATTCCCGTGGTCGTAGCTGCATGCTGCACTTTGCATAATCTGTGTGAATCTAAGAGTGAAATGTTTGCTCAGGTGTGGAGCACTGAGGCAAAGCGCTTGGCTGCACAGTTTGAACAGCCAGATGCTAGGGCTGTCAGAGGAACCCAGAGGGTTGCTATTAACATCAGAGAGGTTTTGAGGAACCACTTTGACAATGAGGGGCAGTAACACGTCTGCTTTGGAGTTGCTTCCCTGTTGCATCAATGTACAATTTTGGGGCTCAAGATCCATGCAACACAATGCTTTAGAAACCTGTTCCCAAGAGTAAATTGATTGCTATATGCTTTTGTAGAACACAGAATAAAAACGCAGTACCATTAAATACCTTAGCCTTTATTTATTGTTAAAAAGGGTAAAACCTCACAACTGTGTGTAGCTCCAGCTATCATTGTGCAAGCTGTGAGAGGGGGTAGAGTGAAAAGGAACGTGTGTGCATAGAGGGGGGTGGGTTTAGCAAAGAATTGTGTATCTGCTGCAGTGGTGCTTGAACTTGGATCTGCTCAGTCTGCAGCTGTTTCAATGACTTGAGCATCTCTGTCTGATCCTCCATAACTTTTATCATCTGCTCTGCCGCTTGCCTAGAAAAAGCAGCATTCTCTTTTCTGTCCTGCCTTTCGGCTTCCCAGCACTCTTCCCATTCCCTGGTCTGTCTCTCATCGTGCTGTAGAACCTCACGGAACATCTCTTCTTTGCTGCACCTAGGTTTTTTTCTTATCTGCCGCAGCCAGTCCACGGGGGTACGTGATGTGCTCTTCAAGGTCTGTGCTGAACAGAAGAGGGATTGTTACATTCCAGCAAATGATTGAAACATTTTAGTAAAAAGGGCATTTTGCTAGTAGAAATTACTTTCTCTCTGAGACTTTAGGAAGGCACACAGCTCCGCAGGCACCCCAATCATGGTGAGTTTCAGGAGTGGGCAGAAGGCGGTTGTGCGTGCAGACAAAAAGGTCACAGCTTGCAGGGAACTCATTCTAAAATTATCCCACACTTTTTCACAGGTGGCCAACCTGCTGGCTGACATCTCCCTGCTGAGGGTGACCAGAGAAACCAGGACTCAGCTGCTAAATGGTTGAGGCTTTCACCCCTGTCTATATGCAGCTCAGCTATGTGCCGCTTTGGTCCCAGCTCCAGTGTTTGCTAAATGGCATGGTACAGTTTCCTACAATGGGGGAACTAACAAGGCTACAATCCCTTGGAATCTGCGGCAGAGGATTAACAAATAAGAAACTTTCCAGAGCCTTTCTCTGGAGGATTCCCTGCAGGTCTCGATGTCCATCGACACCCTGGTTGGCCATGCAGATTAGCTACACAGGGCAATGTCCAGCTCACAGAAAACACTACCTGCCTCCCACTTTTCAATTCCATACACAAGACACAGCAACTTATCCGGAGTCTCATCTGCTTCCTGCTCTCCGCTGAGCACTTCTGGAGTGAAGAAAAGGTCCTGGCTGCCAGACCCATCCGGCGACCCCATGGGAGCACCACATCCTCTTCTACCTCAACTTCTTCATCCACAATTTCAGACTCTGGGTTACCCTCTCTTTCAGTTGCATATGAAGTATCCACGGGGCAATCGGTAATGGAGGTGGGGTCATCTCTGAGGATAGCATTCAGCTCCTTATAGAAGCAGCAGGTTTTAGGTGCACCACCAGAGTGATGGTTTACCTCCTGTGCCTTATGGTATGCCTGCCTCAGCTCCTTTATCTTCATTCTGCACTGCTGTGTCCCCCGATCATAGCCCTTTTCACACAAGCCTCGAGACATTTGCCTATATGTGTCCCAATTCCTACGGGTCACTTGCAGCTGTGACTGAACAGACTCCTCTCCCCATTTACTGATCAGATCCAACAACTCAGTGGTGGTCCAAGTACGAGTGTGTTTGGTGCGATAGCCAGCCATGCTCACCTGGAAAGCAACCTGGGAAGCTCCTCTGGGAAGCTAGCAAGCAGGAAATGAGAT